GCTCACACAAGAAGTCTTTGTGTGCTTTATGCTGCATTATATTACATCTCTACATCTCCAAAACAGACATTAGTAGTATTTTTTGTTTAAATGCACACTAGTGGTTTGATTAATTGCTGCTGTTGGCCCTGCAGCCTGTGAGACCACACAGAGGGATTATTGTTCACAGCAGAAAAGAGGATGTCGCTTACTGCAGTCTGGGTTTTCCTCAAGCCTGCACCATCAAATTTCATAACCTGAATGAATCTGAAAGCAATGTGTGAGGACAGCTTTGGAGCTTACAGTAATTTCAAGACTTGAAAGGGGATTTCAGGAGGCTAAAATATCAAGTATAATCTGCATAAAACAAGAATGGGAAAGGGGAGACTAACAGTTGCATTCCAGAGAAAGAATTTCAATGAAAGACATCAAGCTCAACCTCATGGAGAGTGTTTGACAGGAAGAGTGTGAATGGATATTTTATTACACCTGCTCATCAGAAGTATCATCACTCTGCTCTTCCAGCTGCTGGAGGAACTGTGGCTCCCAGGAAAGACAACCACTACCACTTGTTTTGGGCCGGTTACTTTTTGGCGTAAGATTTACACAGAATTAGTGACGATACTTGGGATTGGAATTACCTTAAATTTACTTTTACATCTACAAATAATAACACAAAACACTTATTTGGAATATAAGTGTAGCTGCTGGAAAAAGAAATAACAATTAGTATGTTTTCTTAAGTGTATAATCCCCTGAAACTAACAATTGGTGTGTTTTTGTTACCTTAGAATGAGCCGCTTATATCTACATAGGGAGCAGGTCCTCATTTACAGAGACTGCCATGTTTCTACAGTAGCCCAGAATGGACAAACCAAATCCTGACTCTCGATAGGGCCACCTGCATTTTCATGTCAGCCATCGTAGTAAGCAGGCCCTCTGCGAAGAGCTGAATAGCAACAGAAAACCTTTTATTTTTTAGCGTAAAACTGCTTTATTTGGCGTGTTTTTTACTGGTTTGTATCACCAGGTCTATTTGTTTTGGAGACGAAGAGACCTCTGCAGATAATTCGGCTCCCAATGAAAACCCTCTGAACGATGAACACTGAAGGAATCCTAAGAGAAGTTTTAGCTGGTTGCAATCTGCAATCCTCACCACTAGATGTCACTAAATCCTACACACTGCTCCTTTAAGCCAGACTCCCGTTTGTAAAGAGTTGGGGCCTCATTTATAAAAGAGTGCTTAGGATTCATACTAAAAGTTGACGTGCGCCCAAAACCTGAAAATGGTGTGCGCCAAAACATAATCTGATTTATAAAAGTGGTCTGATCTAAAGGTAGACCTAATATTTCTACTCCTTTACCAACATGTAGTTAATGTGTTGATTTTAAATTTGAGGATGTTTGACATTGACGTGCGACATAAAGAATCACATTTATTAAAGGTGAAGGCAAAAAGGAGTATGTGCCAGTGCCATCTTGCGCAATTACGCACGAGGGTCACCGCAGTATTTATATGTTTGTGGCAATTAGTCTGATCAGACACCCGGCCTGAATTACAGCATGAACCAGTGGTATCCCTGTCCCAAAATACAATGTGTAATTTGAAATACAATTCAAAGATGAAAGTGTAATAGGCGAACACGTTTCTTCATGCCGGTTTTGTCATGAACAACACGTCTAAGTAGGGCTGATGAAATGAGTGTAACGGTTGTGCTTACTGGCTGTATTTCGAGACATGATAAATGCACTGGAAATATTTAGCTAAATAAATAAATATATTCCATGCAGTTGCGCCATCCTCTCCCCCTCCTGCGCTCACAGAGTGGACAATGAGACATTAGACGCAGTGCAGATTAAATACATATTTATAAAGAATTTCAATTCAGGATTTGAGTTGGATTTTACAATGTTTTTATGAAACAATTATCACTCACTCCAAGCGCAAAATAAGGCTGCTGGATTTAATTTCAATGATAACGTGGATCTAAGGTGGATATAGCGTGACATTAAATTTGTGTGAGACATCAATAAAAATCTGACTCCACTTCTCCACCTCGCCGTCTGCGTCGCCACTTCCCAGTGTCTCCAAAATGTGCGCACGCATGACTCAGAGTTTGCTTACAGCTGCGCACATTCTCCCGCCAAGTTTATTTTTATAAATCACAACCTTTGCGTGGGAAGTGGCGTACGCCACTTTCAAGCCCCGTTTTGTGCGTAAGCAAGCTTTATAAATGAGGCCCCTGGTATCCCCCCCTGGTAGTGGAAAGAATTACCTTCTCAATAAGGCTGCAGAAAATTAAATTTGAGGAAATTTGGAAGAAGTGAGACATGTATATTCCCCAGAAACACCTTTTTTTTTTGTTTAAATTTTTTCTATAATTATATTGTAAAAAGCTGAAAAGATGCATCTCTCTGTAAAAGTACCAAACCAAAGCTGACTGTGTGAACTGCTGCTGTTAAGTGATACCAAATAAAGTGACAAAAATAAAGGTTGTGTGTGTGTGTGTGTGCGTGTGTGTGTGTTATGGCTGACCCGTCTCTTGAGAGTGACTCTGATCTTGGACTGGTTGGTGATGAGGCGAATAGGGGCGCTCAGCATCTCATGCTCGGCGCTCTGGATAGCGTCAGCCTCGATTCGGATCATCTGCCAGCTGATCTCCTTGAAAGTCAGGATCTGAACCAAGCAGGGATGGCAGAGCGATAAATAAAAACCTGGCCAAACCTTCCGGGTGTGAAACATCTTAGAAGAATAAAAAGAATAGAGAAGCACAGACCTCTCCCCTCTGGGGGTCCTGGATGCGGGTGAATCGCAGGTCACTGATGCTCCAGCTGGTGTTGACGCTGTAAACCTGCAGCTGGGAGAGCTCAAAGGAGGCGTTAAAGGCCTTGGCACTGATCCTGATGACGATGGAGTTGATGGACAGCGACATGCCTTCTACCACCTTCTCAGCAAAGCCGTATTCACTACATCGGGTGACAGACAGGTGGACAACGATGGAGAGACAGATAGGTTAACAAGGTGATAGGCAGTGCCTAGCAACTGGTCTGTACTGGGAGCAGACTTGGAACATAATTACAAGTTCAAATACTTAAGAAATGACACTGAACCTAAAGTACAAGGACACCATGGTTGGTGGAGTCAGTGGTTTTCACGTTTTTTGTCATGTCCACATATGCAGAATGAAACAAAGAATCATGCAGAACATAAACCTTACGTTTCAGATTCACACAGACGAAAGACACAACCACAGTGCTCACCTCTGTCCTGATGCTGTTGCTATGGGAGACGGGCCATTGGGGGGGCGGGGCTCATCACAGGTACTCATCTCCATTACCACTTTATCCAGGGTCTGCAAGCAAGTCACAGGCTTAACTTTACCACCGACAGCCAAGGTCTTCGTTAAAAAAAACTGAACTAAAAGTGAAACTTGTCGATGCTCTCTTCAAAGCTAGACTCCTTTGACAGAAATGGTCTACCGCTGCATTGTTCAGTTAGATTGGGACTTTGGTGGATCTGAACTAACCCTTCAAAACACCAAAGACACACAATGACACCAACTAACAGATCAAGGCAGCTGTAGACCAGCAGCTTGTTGCTGTCTGCTTAGCCCTTTATCACTGCGGTTATGGAAGCCGCCTACATATTGTTCACTTACACACAAGTAGCAGCCTGTGTAGCAGGAAACAACACCTTGAAACTCCATGAATTATGCCGTTGCCATTTTCAGACTAATAAAACTCTTGACACGACCAGCCTTTTATCTCTGTTCGTATCACCTTCAGACAGTAGCCACTCTCCCTTTTCACACTGTTGTATAATATTTCCTTGCTATTGTTGGTGGTGTGATAACATTGTGTTCTACAGCACAGTGACTAATGGCAGATTCAGCTAAGTGCTAATGTGCTGCCTTTTCATACAATGCCTTTGCCGTGGCTGTGATTTTCGTGCTAAATAGATGATAAACAGTGTTGTGATAGTTCTGTGTTGCCTTGGTATGTTGTAAGATCTCAACCCTCGACTGCACACATTTTGATGGTACATGCTGAAAATTATTCAACATCATCCATTTTTCTGTCAAAATGTGTTAAAAGAAGTAAAATTCAATAGGAATAAAAAATACTATTGCATTTACAGCTAGCTTTCATGCACCCAGTTTCATGCAGATCGGTCAAACTTCCTAGGAAGAGATCGATTTTAAGTGTTTTTCAAAAATTCAAAATGGCGGAAAATCTATATAAGCGGAAGTTATGGGTTCTTGAGGCAAATTTCTTCCTCATGAGGAGAGGCATCTCTGTGCAAAGTTTCATGTCTCTACGACATACGGGGCAGGAGATATGCCCATTCAAAGTTTGCAATTCCAATCAGTTGCTATAGCGCCCCCCTTTGGCCAATTGATGTAATATTGCTTCATTCGCATCCTCCCATGACCCTCTACCACTGTGCCAAATTTCACATGGATTGACCAAGTCAGTGAGGAGAAAAACGTGGAACACCCACACCCACAGACAGACAGAGTTTTCATAATTATATAGTAAGATTACATTCAAACACACTGTTAGCAAAGTCTCCTTCAAGAAGTACCCCTTATCGCACAACATTGCCCCAAGGCAACGAAAAGAAAAACTTAATTTCTGAACATGCAAAATAAAAAAAATACTTGTCTAAACTAGTAAATCCTGACAAAAACCTTATCTACAACTTCATACACACACATACACACGTCAGAAAATGATGTTCCGCCTTCAAATCATGCTTGAAAGTGACTCCCACATCTTATTGGACTGAAATTTGATACTTTTTAAAACACTCTGATTGGTTGGCATCATTTAAGTTCACATGTACTGGGCATGGGGCTTAAAAAAAAAAGTTACTGTTGCCCAAGGGCAACGCTGTGCTGTGGAGGGTTAAGTTACACATTAATAAAAACAGCGGGCCAAACGTTGCGAAACACCATGGACTGGAAGTATATATATGTGAGGCTTGAGGAAACACAGAATATCCAGGTTGTGGAGACGACTGTTGAAAAATGGAGCATATGTTCCTGCTGTTGTCGTTGGTTTCCAGCAGCCTGTGCATTGGGAGCAACAGTCACCTGGGGACTGGGACCAGCATGGCAGTCTGCCAACCTGACACCTGCACCATGCTCAGCGAGGTGGCAGCCATGAGGGAGAAGCTGGCAGCCATGACACACACACAGAGCACGCTCGAGCAGAACCTCAGCGCCATGATGCAGAAAATGTCCACCGTTGGAGCCGAACTGCAGTCCTACAAAAGCCAGGTCGAGGAGCTCCAGAGGGCAAACCAAGATCAGGCCGAGCAGCTGAAGGCACTGGCAGCAGTTACATTTGCAAACACGTCGAGGGTGGCTTTCTCCGCTGCTTTGGGAGACTCAGTTGGTCCGTTTCAAGAGAACATGCCACTAAAATATCAAAAAATCATCTCCAACATCGGCAGTGGCTACAACCCTGCCACTGGTATCTTCACCGCCAGGGTCAGAGGGGTGTACTACTTCAGGTACACCATGTACAACAACAATGCCGGTGAGCCCAACTCGGTGTTGGCCCTCATGATGAACAGCCAGCCAATGGTGTTTACCTGGGACACTACAGGGAGCGATAACAACGACAGTGCATCCAATGCGGTAGTGCTGCAGCTTGATGCCGGAGACAGCGTGTATGTAAGGCTCTGGGCAAAAAGACAGGTCTATGACGACGGCGGTAACTACAACACCTTCAGCGGATTCCTGCTCTTCACCATGTGATGAACCAAAGCGTGCCTGTGTCGTTTCAACATGTGGGGGGACACTGGAGGTTTGGGGTATAGGTGAACTAGGAGGGCAAGTGGTTAATCTGTCCTCTTACACTGTAAAACAGAAGGATTTTTGCTAATTTCTTGTGATTATTTGTAAGACTCGCTGACAAAATATGACAGCAAATGTAGAAACAAACCCTTATCAAGACTTTTGCATTGTTGTAGTGAGTAAAACTTACCAAAGAGATCGGGTGGGTCTTTAACTTTGTCCATGGTATCTGTAAATGAAAACAGAACAGTGACTTAGCTTTTCAGCCTCACAGTACTAAAATGTTCTCTGTCAGTGTTTTCCTATTCTATATGTGACGTTTTTGGATTAATATTACTGCTACAATAATGTCCATGTTGCTTTTTACTGCTGGAGAAGTTGATTTTAACCCCTTCACATGCTGTTGGGTAGTTTAATCGACAGGAATAAATCATATTCTAAAAGATCATCATGTTTGTAGCATTGCTGTCGTGTAAAATCGGAGTGTTGTAGTACTAATGATCGGCCTCAAGACTACTTTCTGAAGGTATCATCTCAGACTCAACCACATTTTTATTTGGCCTCGCCTTGGTCTCAGATAAAGAGGACTCAGGATTGTATTTTAGGATCTGTCAGGACCACAACTGTGCAAAACGGAGCGTTGAATAAAGATGATTTCAGCTACTTAGTGTTTGTTTGCTGATATAAAACATAAAATTCCCCTCTGCAATGCTTTATTTCTCATGGTACATTTACTTAGACACACACACACACACACACACACACACGTATATGTATATGGCATTAAAAGAGGTGAATCAGGAGGAATCTGTGTTTGTTTTATGTGGGTGTTTTATGGGAATGTTTTATTTCATTTTGAGGTAGGCATATGGTTTTTATGTTCCACATTTTATCCAAAGTGTGTCACGCAGTGTGGGACTCGCACTGGTGCGGTCTCAAATCCTCAAAGTCCCCGTCTTGTCTTGGTGTGGATACAATCTGCTCTTGGTCATGACTCTATTTAGATGGTCTTGACTACAACACAATGGAAACCACACCCTGTTTCAACTTTGTGACGATGCATTTTACAGCTGATCCAAGAGGGTTTTTAAATTGTTTATTCAGCTTAAGAAGAAGGACTTTCTCAACACTTACAGGAACATTTCATCCTCAAGTTTATACTACACACTCAACATCAACACATCTGTAGATGCATGGTTCAAAACTAATCTGAAAAGGAACTGAAGGTGTCAGACAAATGCAAAAGCAAATTCCCTGTGAGATGGAGTGGAGCAGAAGTATTATGTGACATAAAGGGGAAATATTCTAGTACAAGTACCTCTAGCTAATCATTGGCATGTATTCTGGGAGTGTCTGCTGATTAGGCCATTCTGGGCAGACCTTCATAAAGCATTAAAAAGCATACTTAACACTGATCTGCCCTTGTAATTTTCCACATTATTTTTTAGGATGTATATTTCACCACTGTATAGCAAACATGTGGCCTTTCAGTCCTCCCAAAATGCTAAATTACATCACAATTCAATGGGATGTACAAATTAAATACCACAGAATTAAATCAAGTCAAAACAGCAGGAAAGGTAGCTCAGACATGAAGGAAGGAAAAAAAAAGAAATCAATGAGTCTAGACTGACTGGCAGCTCGTTCCATTCAGCTCCAGAGCCCCATTAATCCTCCACATGCGGCCTCTTGATTCAAGTCCGTGTCAAATTATATAGCAAAAAAAAAAAAAAAGATTAAATGCTCGTGTTCACTTGCAGTTCTCTCCACGGAGCGGCTCCTTCTTTGAGACGTCATAAATCAAGAATCAAGGATTTGCGTCTCTAATTGAATTAGAGACACATTTTCTCCGACTCGGTCGTAGAAATTCTGAGAGGTGCCAGCAGGGGGTGTTAGCTCAGGCCTGTCTCTTTGAGTCATCAGAGCAGAAACATGAATTGCAGTTTGTACTAGTGTACATATTTGTGAGTCTTCAATAAAGCAACTTTTATTTCCTTTTAATTAGTGTGTGACAGGCTTTTAAAATGAAAGCTCGTCTGTAACAGGAAGACACGAAGAAGAGAAGCGGATCTAATGAGTGAGGAAGTGAGATATACATCTGTATTTTTTTTCTGAGTAAACACAACAATGCACCGAGCCAGGCAGCTCCACTGTTCACTGAGAAATCTGATGCTCAACACACACACACTGTGAATGATGTGGGTGTTATAGTTGCAACACTTGCATTAGTACTACACACAGTGACACAGCAAACACAGTGCAGTATACCAGAGGCTACATCTTTCAAGCCAGCAGACCATTTAAGCAAAAGACAGCAAAGAAAGGGTAGTGACCAAACAAAATGGAAATTCAAACATGAAATGTGTGCTAAGAAAGAGAAGGGAAGAATGGAGAGAAGTAATTAGCTGGAGGTGGAAATGCGGAGGTGGAAAGTGGACCTTGGACTGAATAAAAGTCCAGTCATGATGGAAATGACTGCAAGTGGCTCCATTCACTGTTTCCAGGGTGTGTCAGAGTATGCTGTTATACATGGCACTTGGCTGACCATCATGACCACATCGGGGGCATCAGACAGCTCAAGCACAGTGTGTGTGTGTGTGTGTAGTGTGAAGACTCACTGGACGTGTACAAGATAGGTGTTAATAGGTCTCTACGCTGTGTCTTAATTAAAGCATCAGGCTGTCTGCGTATATACAGAGAATTATTAAGCAGTTTTTAAGCTTCTATTAATTTAGGCCTGAAAAGAAAATGTGTAAATCAGTTTTGTACATTACTTAAGACAATTTAGTGTAATAAATCATATGTTTGAACTTTGGTTTTAACAACACCCTGTGAGCAATAAAGCTTTAAAGGTCCAGAGTGTATTTTAAAGGGAATATAATATTCATACTATGTTTTCATTATTTTATAATCATCTGACATGAAGAACTGTTGTGTTTTTGTTACCTTGGAATGAGCCTTTTATATCTACATACAAAGCGGGTCCTCTTCCACAGAGTCCGCAATGTCATTTCTACGGTAGCCCACAGCAGACAAGCCAAACATTGGCTCTAGATAGGGACATTCACATTTCCGTGTTGGCCACCGTAGTTCTCCTGCATGCTTGGCAAACAGCAGAAGTTTCAGTTTCCACTTAGTGCCACTAAATCCTACACACTGGACCTTCACAGCAAAAGTTCAGCATTTTGGGAAACACACTTACCTGCTTTAGAGCAGAGAGTTAGATAAGAAGGTTGATACCTCATATGAAGGTGCAGCATGTAGCCATTTAGCTTAGCTTAGCATAAAAACTGGAAACAGGCAAGGCTATTCAAAGAGGCTGCTACTGGTGCCAGATCAATCATCCACCTTGTTTTACCATAGCACGCCAGCTATTGAGCCTTTCGGCAAGTGCAGATCAGAATGCACTTGCGCATGTGTTGTACCCCAATGTTATAATGCAATATGACGCCGTGACTTCTCCTCTTTTTAACCTCCTTAGCCTGGCTTTGTCTGAAAATAATCCCCCTACCAGCACCTCCAACGTTAACAAATTAACACGCCATATCTTGTTTGTTTAATCCGTCAAACAACTGAAGAGTAAAAACAACTATTCGCCGTTTTACAAAGGGTTACGTGCCAGACTACTTCTTGGCTCTGAGCAGAGTTGCCAGGCAACTGGGGAAGGAAGTGACTGTGAGTGGCCAAGAAATAGTCAGGCACATAGCTACCTGTAAAAATATGTGTTGTTTCTAGCTCTCAATTCCATTTTCAAAATATGGACCCCTCATGAAGCACAGGTTGCTTTACTGGGAGTTTACTGGGAACTGGAAACAGAAATCACTTACATATCCTTTGGATTCTCCCAGTGACAGCCATTAAGGGAATCACTAACTGGTTAAAACCCAACATTGCAGTCATGGGTAGAGCACTACATGGAGTACTACATTGCTTGAGGCCCTGCTGTCAGTCATGATATGAAGATATGTTTCCTCCTGTTTCCAGTCTTTATGCTAAGCTAAGCTATCCAGCTGCTGGCTATAGCTTTCTATTTAATGTACAGACATGAGAGTGATATGCATACTCTCATCTATCTGCCAAAGAGTAAATAAAAAGCATACTTCCCTAACTGTCCAACTATTCCTTTAAAATCTAACAAGACAGTGTCCCTCACCCTGATGGCGGCTTTGTTGCACTCCACACGGTTGATGGCCAGCCAGGTGGGCAGGTCCAGCAGGCTCTGCAGAACCTCCTCATCCAGCTCCAGGTTGGTCAGCTGGCCCTCCCCCTTCAGCGTGCTCAGGTTGATCTTGTCTGGCGACAAGTTCTTAGCAAACCTACGAGACACAGATGAGAAGAAGTGCAGCTTTGAGTTTGAGCCTGGGAATATTTATAGAAACAAGTTCTTGGCAAAGCGACGGGCCGGCCAAACAAACCCCAACTGTGATGGGCACAGAGGGGTGCCTGTCCAATGCGACATACACACAGCATCGTTTTTCAAAATGCGTGGTTTTAAAAATAGTTTGTCATGGATATCAGGCAATAACCATTAATTTTAGAGGGAATTATACTTAAGAAAAAAACACCACAACTTTATAATAGCACAGTCAAAAATGAGCCTATAATTTAGAGTTATACATTGCTGTTGAAGTCATCTATGAGACAATTAACCCAGATACAAGTATGGAAATGAATACTCTATAAAGGCTGTTTTTCACTCAATTCAAACTTTGTTGTTAACTGTAATTGTTTGCTTTGTTTGCATAGTTACCACTTAATCTGATTATGACGGAGGAAGAGAGACTTAAGGTATAGTGTGTTTGAGTTTTAATATTGAATAAAAACCCCTCCCAAATGTACAAGGATTAAGACAGAAAGAAAGAGAGCAGACAGGATCGTACAGTGGTGATGTAAAGACCTTACTCTGACACTATATTATACATCGGCGCTCGGGATAATTGCAGTTTGTGAGATCCATGTTGGATGGTGTTCACAGCAAGGACAAAGTGTACTCAAGCCTCACACTGCATTGGATGATAAGGTGCCAACAATCACCTTTCATTAAAAGGTATGAGCCAACATTGATATTTATAACCTCAGTGTCTTGCTCAGTAAAGCACTGTGTGTATATATATCGTCTCTGTATGCTGTAGTGATTCTGTGAGTTCAGTCTATTTGCTCTTTAGTTAAGTAAACAGCTCTGAACACACAAACTTAGTGTCCATGACCTGAGTGTTTTCTGCCTTTGCTCACAGTTTGATTATTGGTTAATAGTTAGCAGAGGGGCCAGATACTAAATGGATATTGACCTGTGCATTTCCACGGACCAGTCTGGGATAGTATTGATTTCACATTCTCTGTCTGTCAAGAGCAACACGCGCCTTCACCCTGTGGCATGCAGAGGTGCACAATACTGTCTGTCCATCTGAGGGCTGACCTGAATGCTTCAAAGCTTCGATCATTGCCA